AAGTGATTAATTCCATTTTGCGGATATAGAGAGAAATGAAAACAAGGAAGGTCCCTCTACACTGCTGTGAATATGGACCCCATTGCATTCAGAATATAGACATAAATGAATAGCCCACATTCAGGGTCAGTTAGTGTTCAGATCACTATTAAAAGTGCAGTTCTATTCTGAAAAACGATTGTGTAAAAATAACACCTGCTTACTTAACAGATCATTCCTTATGTGTGTATTCAGAAATACTTGACTGACAAAAATAAGTATTTATATTTTTTACTGCTGTTAACATTGCTAAGCCAAAAGTTCTATTGGAGAAAGGGTTTGATTCTGTGCTGGTTTTCTCACAGCCAACCAAAGCTTTATCCTGTAAACATTTAAATATGTGTAGTCTCATTGAGTCAGTACTAACATTTGCCACTTCCATCATTTGGCATCTTTCTTAGGAACTGATCTTGCAAGGTGGTGAGAACCCTCTGAGCACTTTAATTCCCAATGGGCACTACTAACCTCTGAAGAGGTGCTCAGCACCTTCTGAGATCAGATCTTTAAATACAAAAGTAGCGTAATAATTATTGGCACACTTTACCTTGCATAGTCAATTGCTTTGAAAGTATTAGTTAAGTCTCCTCCTTTTTGATAGGTCTGTGACATTGCCTCAACAACACCATCTTTTGTTTTGTAGGTACTCAAGTTGAACACTACCCTTGGCTCATTACCATATTGAATTAAGCCCACCTAAACACCACCATAAAATAAAGTTAGTTTGTCATTAATTCAAATCAATTATACACAATTAAAATTCCAAATCAGTTGTCAGACTGATGCACAGGATCTATAGAGGATCAGAATTCAAAATGACCTTGAGAAACAGAAGGAATGGTCTAAAATAAAGAAGATGAAATTCAATAAGGACAAACACAAAGTGCTGCACTTAGAAAGGAATAATGAGTTGCACAGATACAAAATAGAAAATGTTGAATGCCTAGGGAGGAATACTACAGAAAAAGATCTGACAACTATAGTGACCCACAAACTACACAAGTCAACAATGTAATATTGTTGCAAAATAGTGAACATCATTCTGGGATATACTAGCAAGAGTGTTGTAAGCAAGACATGAGAAGTGCACCCCACCCAGCACTGATAAGGCCTCAACTGGAGTACCATGTTCAGTTCTAGGCATCATGCTTTGGAAAAGATGTGGACAAACTGGAGGCAGCCACAGGAACATAACAATGACAAAAGGTTTAGAAAACATGACTTACCAGGAAAGATTGAAAAAAATGAACTTGTTAAGTATGGAGATAAGAAGACTGAAAGGCACCATGATAATAGTCTTCAAAGTATGCAAAAGATCATTATAAAAAGGAGGGTGATAAATTGTTCCTCTGAACCACTGAAGAGAGGACAAGATGCAATGGTCTTTAATTACAGCAAGGAAGATTTAGGTGAGACATTAGGAGGGTGGTGTGAGGGTAGTTAAGCAATGGAACAAATTCCCTAGGGAAGTTGTGGAATCTCTGGCCTTTGAAGGTCTTTAAGAACAAGATAGACAAATACTTGTCAGGGATGGTCTTGATCAGTGGTTCTCAATGTTTTTTGATCACACCCCCTTTGTTTTGAATGCAGCAGCAGCACAGAAGTAAGGGTGGCAATGTAAAAAATAGGGCTGTCAACTGATGTGCGTCAATGTCTGTGATTAACGCAGGGCAGTATTAATGCGTTACTTTTTTAATAAGTTAATTGCAGGCATTAATTCTGCAATGCCCCTTTGAAACACCACCAGCGCGTTTCAAAGAGGCAGCGCATTAGGAGCCTGGGATCAGCTAGATTTCCCAGCTTACCCTGGGCTCCATGCAGGGCTGCCCCTTTGAAGCGCCAGAGCAGCACTTCAAAGGGGCAGCGCAATGCGGAGCCGGGGATCAGCTAGGCACTCCATCTGATCCCACGCTCCTAATGCACTGCCCCCTTTGAGGAGCTGGAGTGGCATTTCCAAAGGGCAGCATAAGGCTGAGCCAGGGATCAGCTGGACACTCCAGCTGATCCCGGGCTCCACCTTGAGCTGCCCTTTGGAAATGCTCCCATGACCTTTCAAAGGGGAGACGCACGTGATTAATTGTGATTACATTTTTAATTGCTTGACAGCCTTAGTGAAAAGTGATATTTGCCATCACTTTTCATGGCAGACTTAGCACCCCACTGTCACCCTTATTTCTGTGCTGCTGCTGCTGTCTTGAGGCTGAGAGCCAGTGCCCCATCACCATGGTCACAGGAAAGGGAGACCAAGCCCAGGCCTTCTCATGAGGAATTGATAAGGGGGAAAGAGCATGAACTTGGGGTGCCTCCCAGTGATGGACTGAGTGGGTGAAGAGACAGCCCAAGTGCAGGAGGGATTGAGGATGACAAGAGGGGGAGAGCCCGAGCCCAGGGTAGAAACTCTTCCTCAAAAAATATCATTAAACTTTTCCCAAAATATCACTTTCACAGAGAAGCTACCATGGAAAATTCTGCACCAAAGATGTAGGCTTTGGAAAGCCATGATTATGTGAAAAGTGGGTTTATCATAGAAAAAGTTTTCCAATAACTTTAGCCATACAGTGATTAATGTGCTATAAAACTCTGGGGGGGATAAAAGATCTGTTCTGTTCTCAGTACATGAACACAGTAATGATGGTTACACTTAAAGATCTATTCTCCATTTAATGATAAAGTATACTGGAAATAATCTGTCTGTTTCGACACAAACTGGCTGTGTCTAGACTGCATCCCTTTTTCGTAAAAGGGATGTAAATTAGACATATCGCAATTGCAAATGAAGCGGGGATATAAATCTCCCCCACTTCATTAGCATAAAAATGGCTGCCGCTTTTTTCCGGCTTGGAACTTTGCCGGAGAAAAGCTCCAGTCTAGACGCGGATCTTTGGGAAAATAAAGCCATTTCCGAAAGATCCCTTATCCCTCTTAAAATAAGGGATAAGGGATCTTTCGGAAAAGGCTTGATTTTCCGAAAGATCCGCGTCTAGACTGGCGCTTTTCTCCAGCCAAGCTCTGAGCTGGAAAAAAGCGGCCGGCAGCCATTTTTATGCTAATGAAGTGGGGGAGATTTAAATCCCCGCTTCATTTGCAATTGCGATATGTCTAATTTGCATCCCTTTTACGAAAAAGGGATGCAGTCTAGACACAGCCCTCATGTATGGGACTAAAATCATCTGAATAGAATATTTCCTTTTGAAACATTAGTTAGCTTTGTGACAAAAGTCCAGATCCTGAAAAATGCTGAACAATTGCAAATCCCAGTGACTTTTATGGGAGCTGTAGTTATTCAGGATCTCTCAGGGTTAGACCACGGGGTTAGCTTTATGTTAGCAAACAATTTCCTTTAAGTCTGTCCTAAATCACTAAGCAAACTCATTTCTATCTTTCTTCCGTTTCAAGAATTATTTTGTTACTTACCTGAGTTTTTGTGGGGCCTATATCTAAGCCTTGGGCAAATTTTTTCAAAAATGCACTCACTGCAGACCAGGGATAAATGCTGTTTGACTCATCACACACAACAACAACATCTATGAAGGAGGAACAGTCTAAGAGAGAAAAGGTAAAAACTGATAAAAGGACCCTGAATACATAAAATTTATTTACAAATCTTGAGCCAAATCCAGATGTCCATACATTAGTATACATGCAAGCAAACTTCAGTTGATGTCATAGGAAGTTTACCTGTATGAGGATAGAATAAAATCTCAACCTGATACTGAGCCTGGTTATACAGGTAAAAGGTACCAAAATCAGTGAGGTTACTGTTGATTTTCACCAGCTTAAATGAGATCAGAATCAGGCCCTGAGTGTGAATGTCAGGATTTGACTCTTTGTAAACTGAACTTTAACAAATTCAAATGTGATCACTTTAGGATTCCACTACATGACATCTCTTAATTTCAACTGATGTATTTATTACTGAATCTATTTTACATGTATTGACTTACTTTGAAGAGCAGGTGAAAAGCTTCTTAAGATCTGGAAACTTGGACTGATTTCAGAACAGACTCCTGTTGCATAGTACTGACTTCCACACTGCTGAGCCCACAAGGGACCACAAGTCTTTAAAAAAACAAAATGAGGATAATATAAAATCATCATGTATCCTGTCATTGCACTCCTTTACATGAGTATGCCACATGCATACACACAACTGGAGATCAGAGGAGTAGCTCCCCACCAGGTAGACACAATTTTGACTGAGACTGGCCACAAGGTGGCACTGCTACCATGAGTTGGCTCTTATCTACACATACATACAGTGTCCCCCCTCCCTCCCCCCCAGTAGCAGTTTGTCTTTAGTATTTGATACAGAATACTTCTATTACCTGTTAAATACACATACTAGTGCTGGACCAAAACATTTTCTTTTTCTCTTGGCTCATGGGGGGGCGGGGAGGGAGGGGGGAGGAGAGTGTGTGTGTGTGTGTGTGTGTGTGTGTGTCTACTCCATGAATAAAAATAAAGTTTAAAAAGCAATGAATTTACTAGTTTGAGAATACTTTTTCCAAAAGAAAAATATATTTCAAATCTGTGCTTAAGACATCTACACCTTCTTTGTTTCTTTGTACTAATGTCAGTCGTGACCCTTAGAGGACTGTTACAACAATAAGGAGAGAAAGAAAAAGACGAATGTGAAGACTATATTTTTAAAGATACAAGGTGAGTGAGGTAATATTTTCTGGACAGAAGCTGGTCCAATAAAAGATATTACCTCTCCTCCATAGCTTCTCTAATAGCCTGGGGCCAGCATGATTATAACAATACTGAATAAGGCGCTATTTTTGATCGAGTCCCTTTAAAAAAAATTCTGTTCCTTCTGTGCATGGCAATAGTTTAAAAGTTAAAGCACCAAATTTAAAAAAAAATTGAAAAACAAAACTGAATTGAAGTTATTAAATATATAAATGGGACTGTATGATGCACAAGAGTGGAATGTTAAGCCTGTCTTCTCCAGACCCATGATCTGAATTTAATTAAACTGGAAAGAAAAGACTTGCGAGTTGTCCAGTCGCATATGTAATTTGAGCTGGTGTCTTCGTCAAATTCTTACTGCACAGGCATCCACAACCCAAGAACCAATTAAGCCAAACCAGTCAAAGTTGATTAACTAGAAAAACTGAACTCTCCTAATGTTAGTCTTTTCCTGTCAGACTTAAGGAACATTGATGGAAGCACAAAGAAGTTTCCAATGCCACTGTTTAACAATAAACTAGGTACAATATAATCAGAAGACTATATTTTTCTAATACTCAGAGTATGCCACCTTTCAGTAGCCCCACCTAAATACTTCAACAAAAATGTGAATCAAGGAAAAGATAGAATGTTCTACACTTAAAAAACATGTTCTCTTCCCCATGTACGTTGTTAGTTTCTGTTAACAGTTTCCTACTTGCTACCTCACACAGTGACAAGATTCAATTAATACTGATAGGCTACTGCAGTTCTTTTATGTTTAGAAAAGCCTCTAAAAGTAAACCCCCGGCATTTTGTTAACATGCAAGACAGTTGTATTAATTCGACATGCTGTATGATTTACAAATCTATATGTAGAACTCTTTGCTGGAATGTCTGGGACCAGTAACTTTAAATGCAAAACAAACCAAAATATAAAATTGTGTACATTTAAAAAAGGGCACTGAGAACAAAATGTGAAACATTTGTGTAGCATAAATCAGGCAGGCTTCTGTTACAATCGTATTCATTTTGTTACAACAGATGTTTCATAGGCCAGGGCAGGTTCAGAGGGTTTTGTTTTTGTTTTTAACTAAGGCCAATGTAAACTAACAAGAAAATAAGATACACGCCTTGAAGCTCTGATGTATTGTGATCTCCCTCAGTTCACCAGAAAAAGCAGAATGGGGGGAAAAGATGGCTAGTGTCATATTTCTGCCCACAACCTCATGATCCTGGGGTCAGCCAGAGGATGGCCAAAAAACTCTTCTTACTCTCAGAACACCTTCTACACTAGGGATGCCAGGAGAGTTTTGTATTCAAACAAAGCAGTATAAATGGGACATGAGGGTTATATATATTTTTACAAGTCCAGAAACTATTTTATTAAGCACAAAACAATTACATTCTAATTAATCTTAAATTTATTTTTCCTTCCTGTTAAGTAGGCTACTGTAATCATACTCGTGCTTCCTAGTCAGAGTCAATGAATTCTACATGGATCAGGAAAGCTTTTGAACAGAGTGTGGGGAGTATGTATATCATTTAAAATTATTCTGCATTACATATTTATATTTTAATAACTGAAGTTCACAATGGTTAATAAATAATACTGCCTCTTCCATCTACAATGCAAAATAATCATTCAGGTATTGGTCACAATTTTAACACCCTAACAAAATAGAGAACAGACCATTCAGCACCTATTCACTATGGTATTTAAGCTTATCCCTAAGTTTTAAGTGCAAGTAGCTCCATTGATTTTAATGGAGTTACTCGTATGTTTGGGTATGTCTCCACAGCAAAGTTATCTCAAAATAACTTTACTAGCATCTACACAGCCAAACCACTATTTTGAAATTAATTCGAAATAGCAGAGTGCTTATTTCAAATTTGGTAAACCTCATTCCACGAGGAATAACGCCAAATTCAAAATAGCCATTTCGAAATAAGTGCTGTGTAGACACTCATATCAAAATAGGGGGCCTCCAGGTTCCCAGGGTGCCCTGGTGGCCACTCCAGCCTCAACAAAGAACACTCTTCTCCTTCCCTCTTCCCCGGAGCCCTTAAAAGGGTTGACTCTGGCCACAGTGCCTGTGCTAGCTCCAAGCCTGTCAGCCCAGAGTCAGCAGTCACTGCCCGTGACCCAGTGGCCGCAAAACATGAGCCAGCAGCCAGCCCACCACTGCTCCTCAGGAGCAGTCTGCCTGCTCCCAGGAGCCTGCCAGGGCCATGAGAAGGTGGGCGCCTTCCTGATCCTGGGTGGAGATCATGGACCTTATTCAGGTTTGGGGGGGATGCTCCCAACATCCATGATCTCTGCACTAGATAGAGGAACACAGCCATCTATGGCAGGATAACTGCCAGCCTGGCCACCAAAGGCCACATGCGAACCCAGGAGCAGGTTTGCATGAAAATCAAGTTCGTCCGTCGAGACCCCCAACCCCGAGCCCTGAGCTTCTCCTCCCCCTTTTTCCCCTTGCTTCCCCCTTCCAGCTCCCGCCTCCCAGGTTTCCCCCTCCCTTCTCCCAGCCTCTTTCCTGCCCTCTCCCACCTCCTTTCCCCAGTCTCATCAGAGTTTCATTCTCTCCCTCCTCCCCCGGTTTTGTTAAATAAAGAGAGTTTGTGTTTATGAAAATACATGTATTTTATTTGACATCAGGAAGGGGGGTTAGAGAGGGTTAAGTGGAAGGACGTGAGGGAGGAATGAGGTATAAGCCCCCAGTGGGGCAGACCAGGGAGGCTCTTAGTGCTCCTCAGGGTGGAAGCCCTCCCGGATACTGACAGCCCCCTGATGGACCTCACGGATGGTAGCCTGCAGAAAGTGCAGCCAGGCTCACAGCAACACATCCACGTGAAGCACCAGAGTGCCCAGGGGCAGCTCTGGCTCCATGTTTCAGAGTGCTAGAGTGTCCCAAGTGAAGGCAACCAGAGCACACAGAGACAAAATGCTTTGCTGTCCCTCATTGAGGTAGGTAAGCAATCAGGGAAAGCTGAGAACCGGCTGTCTAGAGAGTGGGGGAGAGGGGTCCTCTTTAAGCACAAGCCTCAGATAGTCTCAGGCAGCAGCCACACAAAGTAACTCCTGACCTGATGCCCTGCCGGACCTGATTCCGGCCAGCCTTAAATGCAATTCAGTCCACTCAATAGCAAAATGCTATTTCAAAATGTATTTTGTGTGGATGCGTTATTTCAAAATAACTTATTTTGAATTAACTATTTTGAAATAACGCTGTAATCTAGACATACCCTTTGACATTAGGCATGTTTTTAAGTACTTTGATCAATCAGAGTTTATATTGGCTAAATGACACTAGCAATGATAATACATTCTTGAACACTAATACAAAAATATATGGGGCAATAGAAAAAATATTAATTCAAAATGATCCATTAGTATAGCCTGAAAAATCAAGGTGACTTACCTGTAATCAGAGTTCTTCAACTTGGCTCTGCATATTTCTAGTTACGAATATCTTCTAATAGTGTCAGCTAGAGTACTCTTACCCCCCTGCTGTTCCCTCCAGCATTAGGGAAGCATTCCATTAAAGAATCATCTCTCAGTGCATCATGAGGTAGCAGTACCCATAAATGGGAATATGCAGAGCCCCTTTAAGAATTCATTCTTACTTTAAACAGGAAAGATAGTAGAGTGAAGTACCTATGTCATATTTACTGTTTCACTGCATTAGGCACTGTATTTGTATATGATTTATAAATCTTAAACTGGAGCACGTATGTATATTCAGCTGTGAATCAATAAACATGTTAATCATCCACCATTTTTTGTAAGCTCTGTGATTGCTGTGGTGGATTTTTGACCATAACTATTCACAGCATATAAACACATATATAGTATATTGGTTATACATAATGTAAGTTATAAGGAATTGTTTTTGCAGCATCTGCAGAATACAAAGCTGGCATATGATAGCAACATTTGCAGATAATGGAAAGTGAAAGCTTTTAAGGCATCTGAGGGTATAAGTTCATACTTCATTTATCAACAACCAGAGAGGGTAGTTCAGAGGGTCACAAAAGTGGATGGAATATACTTTTATATATGAATTTTCCATTTCAAAGCAGTTTTAACTGCATACAGATCTAATTCAGCGTTTTCTGTCTTGAGTATTATTATTTAAAGAATCCTTACATATTGGAGATTAAAAGTAAAAGGACAGCAGTTTCAGATTCCTTCCACTAACCAAAACTGGCCTGAATGCTAAATTGAAATTTTGTATTCTGAACTAGAGAAAAATTCCCAAGCTGCTGAGTACTTTAGGATAACATCTTTTAAAACTGGCCCTGAGATGTTGTGGACTAATCTATGTAAAGAAAGAGGCAGCCAAAATTCAAAGAAAAGCACCTACTTTTCTGGTAAGATTTGGAGCTTTTGCTCTACTACTCAATCTCAACTTGACTCTTCTCTTGGACGAAGTAGCTCATATTGAAGGTGCAGCAGAACTGCACCACAGCAGGGGGCATTGCAGGAGGCACTCTCACTCAAGTTCTCCAGCATGCAGCATGTGCGCTACTACATCCCTATATGAGTACAACTGTTCTTCCTACACAAGCTGGTTCCTGAAGGTGAAGCCATGAGGACACATAATTGGGGCAAACATGATATTCACAAAGTAGATGCTCTACCTTGAAAAAAATGGATTTTGGGGAACTGTTTGGCAAATTAGAGAAAACCTTTTGGATTAATTCAGAGATTGGCAACCTTTGGCTCTCAACCCATCAGGATAATCCTTTGTCAAGCCACAAGACATTTTGCTGATGTCAACCAGCCGCAGGCATGGACCCCACCCTCCCAGTGGCTGCAGTTTGATATTCCTGGCCAATGGGAGTTGCAGGAAGCTGTAGCCATCAGGTCTCTGCAGTCCACACCACTTCTTTTGGCCACTGGGAGCTATGGGGGGCCGGGCCTGTAGATGGTCAACATCAGCATAATGTCTCATGGCCTGCCATCGGATTACCTTGCTGAGCCAAGAGCCAAAGTTTTCCGATTCCTGGATTAATGCAATACCCACTTACAAGACGGACTCACTGCAAAAAAGAATTTAGTTTGTGGATACTATACTCTACTCATGTGTCAAAAAACTACAATGAAAAAAAATCAATGACTATAAGCTGGGCCAACTCTTCCCTGTGCAACTTTAATTCTCTTCCCTAGGAATGGGTGTTATGATATAATCTTTAATTACAAGATCATATACTTTTTTCAAACATAGCACCACTAGATAGATATACAAGGGAGCAATACCTAACTTTTGAGTGTTTTACTTTCAACATAAAAAACATTATTTTAATGTATGTTTTACATTAAATACAAAATGCATATTATTCTGTATTTCATAATTAAATATTTTTAGTTCAGATTTAATTTAAAAATGTGGAAATTTTTAGCAGTTACATTTTCAATG